GAGGGAACACTGCAAAAAAAAAAAAAAAATGCATTGACCCATGTCACTTTAGTTTTGTGTATTTCACTGTACATAAATTATATTTCAATAAAATGCATTAAAAAAAAGATACAGAAACTGACCCACATTACCCACTGCAGCATTTTGTGATTTTTTTTTTAAAAATACACTTTTTTTTTTTCTAATTATGGTAAATATGTATGAAACAAAGCATTTGACATTTCAACAGTCTTCCTCTTGATGAAAATTCATTCGTGTAGGGAAGGCTATGACAACAGCCTGTTAAGTTCCCCACAATGACCTGACCCAGCTTAGGGACCCAGTCTGCCTGAGCATATCATGCTACTGTTGCCGAAACTGACTGTTTATAGGACTGTTTACTTGGTGACATCTTATTCAATGACTCTTGCAACTGATTATTTCCTTCAGTTGCTAAAAATAACTGGTATTTCCTCTTCAGCAAAAAAAAAAAGAAGAAATTACATCCCACTATGAAGCAAATTGATGGGGAAATCTAATATAAAAAACATAGTTTAGGCTAGAATACAGCCAGCTGCTAGAAAAATTTTTCAGCTTGATCTCTGGGCAGTATCACTGAGAAATGGAAAAACATGAAGCAAGATGATACTTCATCTAGTGATTAATTGTCTGGGATGTGCTATGCTCCTGCAGCACTTGTCTGGCTTTAATGATGGAAATGAACTTTTGGTGCAATAAGGCTCGCTTCTGTCCCATCCCCTTCCCCATGTTGTGGTGACAAGGCTCACACTGCCCAGGGAAGTAGTTCTCTCAGGTCCAAGGACTGCAAGAGGGTTGTTTTGTTTTGTTACTGTTTTTGTTTTTTAAATTGCTTCCTTGTCTTTCTTTTCTCCTGTTCAATTTTGGTTTCATAATCTTCCAAATAAGGAGCCCTGGAGTTACAACAGTTAAGGGCTTGGCTGCTAACCAGAAGGTTGACAGTCCAAGCCCACCCAGTGGCTCCACAAGAGAAGGACCTGGTGAGAAAACCTGTGGGGCAGTTCCACTCTGTCATATGGGGGTCTCTGTGAGGCAGAAGTGACTCAGTGGCACCTAACAATGACAACAACAAATCCTTCAAATTAGAGGGAGAAGGGGAAGATGTATGTATTCACATCAGCAACTGCTTGCAGCTTTAAAATCCAGTTGGTTTATACTGGGAAACATGCAGTTATTTTTTGGTTCCCTTTTGTTATGTATCAGAATTTTGACTTGTCCATTCTCAACTGTGGCTCTAATGAAAACTTGAGTGGAATTCTTCAGTGAGAAGATATGTGTAAACAACATTTCTGATCTCAGTGTTACCCTGCCAGTTTGCAAGCGTGATTTTTTTTTTTCATTTTGTAGAGTCAGTTTGCATCTCTAGTGGACTGATCAGGTCAGGACGGATGAGTCATGTGTTTGTACCAACAGAACCAAGTTCATCAACACAGTTGCTGCCTCTGCGAAATGAATTATCTGTGGTTCTGTGGTTGATAGGACCACACATAAAACTCTCTTTGAGGATCACAGGGTGTAATCACTGCCAAGCTATATTTGAAATGAGAAAAACATGGCAACAGAAATTCTCTCCTTGATTGTAGCCTGTTTGAGGAAAGCATCTGCCCATGTACTTTAGTGCCATCTTGAAGGCCTCTGGACTCTTCCCAGTTGTTAAGCATCAGTCATTCAACACTTTGTTTCTTAGGGTATCTGATGTCTAAAGAAGAAAAGACACTTTCTCAGCAGACCATCTCTGACTTCTCCAAGCCAAATAACTCTGAGGGGAGTTTTATGCAGAGGCTTCTGAGCCTGTGAGTGGCAAAGTAGTAAAAATATTTAAATCAGAGCTCTCCAAAAGAAATACTATGTGAACCACAAAAGTAATTTTAAATTTTCTAGCATCCACCTTAAAACTTAAAAAGAAACAGGTGAAATTTTAATAATATATTTTGTTTAACCCAGTATATCCAAAAACATTATCATTTCAACAAGTAATTAATACAGATAGTCGTTAATGTGATCGTTTGCCTTGTGTTTTTGGCTTATGTCTTTGAAAGCTGGTGAGTATTTTATAGCACATCTCTTTTGAGACCAGTCGCATTTCAAGTGCTCAGTTGCCCCATGTGGCAGCAGTTCCTGTAATGGACAGCACAGTCTTAAATGTCTTAACAGACTCTGCATGAAGTCAGGCCTGGACTGTTGCTGAATGTCAGGAAGGTCTGAATTTCTGTCTGCCAGATTGTGGTGGTTAAGTTTGTATGTCAACTTGGCTAGGCCTGGTTGAGTGGCTGAGCAGCTGGTTGTAGTATTCCCATGATGAGACTGGTAATCAACTCCATGGTGGAATCTACTCTGAGTAGCTGCCTTTGGGTATGTAGTCTGCTTCCTGTATATAAGAAACAGCTTTGGGGATGGTCTTTAACTTATGGCACACTTGAACCCTACAGGTAGCCAAGTCATTGCTCAGCAGCCTGCCATGCTCTGCCGACCTTGGGACTTTCAGTGGACATGAATTCATGGCCTATTGTGTGGTTTGGTAACATTGGGACTGTGCCTTTTTACTTGTCAACCTTGGGCTTGTCAGTCTCAGCAGCCAGTAGCTGTCTGAGTGAAGAAAAGCCTCTAGCTCCAGTGGGCCAGGAGCAGGAGGCAGAGCTGAAGCCCAAGGTCGAGGGGCTTTCACACAGCGCCTAGAGCCTAGCACTTGGAACTCGGACTTCTAGCCTCCCAAACTGTAAGAGAATAGACTCCTGTTTGTTCTAGCCATCCTTTTTGTGGTGTATTCCTGCCAAAGTGGCACTAGGAAACCAGAACACAGACATTCTACAGCAAAAGCTGGTGGATGTGGAATGTTATGGAAGGTCAGGCTTTGCTCTTCCCCAAGCACTGAGATCCATTCTTACTCTGAGTTTATGAGTCTGTGTGGCAGAATTTTCTTTGCCTCCTTCATGGTGTCCCTACTCTTATCTTCTCCAGCTACACTCTGTGCCCCTTGGAGACTTACTTCCACTTACCAACTAGTTAAGCTGTTACCCTTTGTTAAATCCAGACCAAAAAGCTCCGCAGGGCTTTCGTGGCTGTAATCTTTATGGATGCAGATCTCCAGGCTTTTCTTCCATGACATCATACAACCTAGAGACTAGTCACTGTTGTTGTTGTTGTTATGTGCCGTCAAGTCGGCCCCGACTCATAGCGACCCCTCCTTGGGTTTCCGAGGCAGTATCACTACGGAAGTAGGATTGCCCAACCTTCCTTCCGAGGAGTG